CCTGCTTCTGGCTTTAACCTTTTCTGGGTCTCCAATCCCTTTTGAGAATCCAATGTGTTATGTAATATTGCCCCTGAAAAAACGTGCACACTTGGGCTCACATACATAACTTTACACACAATTTCTGGGATCTGCAGAGCCCCTAAAGCCCATTCAAGGAAACTTTGGGCTCTGGTTAGATACTTTGTGGTTCCAGGATTAAGACCTGAGTCAGAAAAAACATTCTTCAAATCCTAATTACTCCCAAACAGGCTGTGTGACTTTGGAAGTGTTACTTAACTTCTCTGGGCCTCATTTTCCTTGTATGTAAAATCGGGGTAATAGCAGTAGCTACCTCACAGGGTTGTGAGTAATAAATAAAATCCATAAAAACTCTTAGCCGGAAACCAAGCACATGGTAGCCAAGCACATGGCAAGAGCTTATGGTGTTTATTGTCATGGTTACTGTTGTTGTTACTGCAGAAGGTGGCCCAGGGCAGAATATAAAAACCAAGTAGGCAGTCCTGGTTCAGCCAGGGTGGCAGGAAGCCATCTATCGGAGTCTACTTCTACAGCAGAAGAAACACTCTCTGAATTCCACAAGGAGTGTCACAGTAGCAGGTCCCTGGGGGACAAAAATGATCCTGATTTGTGGTCAAGTTAACTAATTTCAAGCAATGTCAGAACCTTTTTTCTGAAGGAAGCGCTGGCCTGAAGGCCAATGCTGGTGCTTACATAAATAATCAGGACATGAATGGGGCTACCAAAACAATCTGGATTAAAGCTGATGGAGCCTTTGAGGGTTTACTTGAATATTCTCTCATGCTAAGGAATAACTCATTTTGTCTGAGTCTACAGGGTCCTCTTACCCTCGCAATTCATGCAATTTTCTTTCCCTCCTCTTTGTCCGGAATATTCACTGAACTAGAGGGAAAGCAGATTTGGGGCAGAATAATCCCTTCTCCTTCCACTGGAGACCAAAGAAGGCTGGGCTCTGGTGGTATAGGCAGCAAGCAGGAATTCGGGAGTCAGGATACAGTATAGACCAGGCTTTGAAGACAGGCATTCCCTCTATGGAGCAGACTCCAGGGACCAGCTGCTTCCACCTCCAGGGGAGAAGACACTGGCCCAGTTGACCGGGGGTGGGAGACCCCAGAAAGTCTTCCTGAACCAGCACTGAATCCCAAGAAGGGGGCTGAGTAGAAGGTGAGATCCCGGAGCAATGGCAGAGTTCCTTCCCACCAACACTCACCCCACCTGCCTCTGAGTTACTCCCCTTTCAAAAATCTTACTATCTCCAAAAATCCTCTGAGGTGGGACCACCAAAGCCCAAGCCTTGCCCCTCCACAATACATAATTGTTTATCCTCTATTTGCTTGACAAAAACTCATTCAACCAATAATTGAGAGTACCCAGGTTCTTGCCTGGCCTGTGAATGTCTGAAGTGGATGGAATCCCCATATCAAGGACCCTGCCCTTAAGCATCTCCCATTATGGCAGGAGAGGGAGTGAGGCTAAGGGCAAACCCAAAACACAGCTCCTACCTCTGCAGAAGGAGGCAGTGGGTTTGGGCTCCCAGGATCCCAGAAGGTGCCAACCTCCCACACACTGAGGTCTGGAGTTGGGGGAAAACCACAGGGTTGGGGGAAAAAAATCAGTGTGGCAGTTGGGCTGGTTTTTGAAGATAATCTAGATGGGGTGATGGAGGTAGGGGGCCCTAAACAACAAAACAGGCAGGTGACACCATGTGCCCCCTGATTCCCCAACTATGCTGGCCAGAGCTGCTTGGCCAGCGGAGAGCACAGCCAAATAGACCAAAAAACCCAAAACCTTGGGATTGGGCGGCAGGTGCCTGCTGGGAAGAGAAGGAGAGGTTTGACAATGACGGGTGGAAGGGGCAATGTAGCAGGTGATTGTGGGTTGTGCTGTCCACTTTGACACAATGTGGCCAGAGACTAAAGGTCCAGGGAAACAGGGCTCCAGCGGAGGAATTCTATGCTACCACCCCTCTGCTCCCCAATTCACTTTCCTCACCTTCCTGGCAGCCTCACAATAATCCTGAACTCTGCTGTTCCTGAGGGACTGGGAGATGGGTAACAGCAGGGTTGTCCTTAAGGTCCTGTCTTGCCGACCAATATCAGGTGTGGAGACAGGAACAGACTGGAAAAATGGGGGAGGAGGGGTATTATGGGAGCTCCTCAGGAGGATGGGGACCAAAGAGTCCCTATTTCCTGATCTGGAAGGGCCTCCTCTGCTAGCATGGGGGATATGGCTTGCCTGAGGCTGTGGGTCAGGGCTTTGGGGGTTATGGCAGGAAAGGGCTGTGGGCCAGAGGCTGAGGTGAGATCCTGAGAGCAGGAAGTGAGAGGAGAGAGCAGACCCCTTTTGGTCCCAGAGCTTCCAACCTAGCAGGGTTCAGCTCCCTGGAGCCCTCTTCTTCAGATCCCTCTCCGCCATCTCTGGACTCCGACTCCAGGCCCAGTCTCACCTCATGGCTTCCAGAGCAGCACTGATGCATCAGAGACAAGCCTGCCTTGGGGATAGTTCTGCAGCTCTGGGGGAACATTCTCACCATTCCTGCTTCTAAAGCACCTGTCCTCCCCCCCAAAATGCAGGACAAAGATGCGGAAGAGGATAAGTAGATCTTCCCAACACTGCCAAGCAGGCCTGGGGCAGGCACTGAGGTCCCAAACAAGAATCCTCTCTCCCTACACTGTCCCCTTTTACTCTGGAGAGCTGCAAGCCTTGTTCCAAATGAATAACTAACCGGGAGATAAAGAAACTGATCTCTGATGCTCAGAGGACCCTATGCTAGAGGCATCAAGGAAGAGAACTTGTCCCCTGCCCCACAGCCCAGCTTGGTTTGCTCTCTGGAGCAGGTATGAAGGGGCAAGAAGTCCAAGAGGTCCTATTCTTCCCACCCCAGCCTCTGCGCTGGGCCACAGTCCTCTGCACTGGCCTCTCTAGGGCCTTCTCTAGACCAAGCAGGACTGCCAGACTGCACTGCCTGCCCAGGAGTTTACAAACAAAGCAAGGGAAAGGGCTAGGGCTGTATGTGGGGAGGGAACTTCCTCCCTTGGCTACAACCTCTCTCCTCCTCCCCTCCTTCCTACAGGGGTGGAAATGGAAAATTAGGGTGGCAGGGCAGGTGGCCCCACGCAAACCAAAGGAGGGACTCAAGAGAAAAAAAACATCAAAAACTGGGGACATAGCCCCCTTGGGTGCCTCAGGGGAATGAAAGACATAGGTAGGGGTTCAAGCCACCAAAATACCCACAGGTACACACATACGTACTCACATACGTTTACACAAATAAACACATGGAGAACCACACACAAATATACATATTCAAAAACATAAACACATTCAAATACACACATAAATGCTCGCCTGATATGCACAGAGTTCGGGCCGTAGGGTTCCCAGTGCCCAGTCGGACTCGAATGCCTCTCCCTGCGGGTTCCTGAGATCGCAGCCCCATCCATGGCCCGGCCCCCTCCGGGCCCCCGCCACGCATCCGGAACAGCTGGAGTCGGCCTGGCGGTGCACTCAAGCCGGGCGCTGGGCTGGGCGGGGCCGGCAGCGGGGCCCCGGCCGGGGCCGGGCAGAGCTCAGCGGGGAGGCCCTGAGCCTGCCCCGTTAGCCCCGGCACCCGGTCCGGCTACCACGGTCGGACGCCGGTCAGCAGGCGGGCCATGGCCCCAGCTGGCCCGGAGAGCCGCGGCCTGAGAAGAGTGTGCAAGATTGCCGGAGGAGGTAAGGCTGTCGCTTCAGGCTCAGGCGGGGGAAGAGGTGCCTAGGGCCACCAACAACTCCCCCCCTCCACCTCTCGGTTGGGGAAGGCTGTGTCCTCTGACTGGCCTCCTCTCCCAACCCCTGGGATCCCCCACCCCTGTGTCCTGTGTCGCCTCACCCAGGGCTGCAGAGCCTCCTTGGACCTCCCGCGGGCCAACCCGAGGGCTGCAGATTCCTTCTCCCCAGGCGCGTTACCCAAGGCCGTGGGTGAGGGGCAAGTGGATCTAGGGGTAGGGGCGCTGGGTCCTTGATCTCAGCCCGGCAAAGTCCGCTCTGGGCGGCGACGGGGCCCACCCAGGCTCCTGGTCTTACCTGGCCCGCGCGGCGGCTGCATACCTCCCCGGATGGGCTCCTGCCGCGCTTCTCCGGCGCCAAATCCCGGGTTGGAGAGCCTGAGACCTCCGGGCCAGCGCTGCCATCACAGCCAGGCCGGCGGGAGGCGGGTACGCCGGGAGCGCGGCTCACAGTTTGGGGTGGGGGCGGCGGCTTTTCAGTCGCCGGTGGTTCGGGTGCAATAAAGGAGCCGCTAATGTAATTTACAAACAGCTCGGGCCGAGCGCGGCGCAGCGCCGGGACTGACAGGCGCATTAGGCAGGCTAATTCCAGCCGGCTCCTCCTACCCCAGGCCCGCTAATTAATGAGCTTCCCAACTTAGAGCTGCCTGCATTGGACAGACAGAGAGTGAAAGAGAGGACGAGGGAGAGGGAGAGAAGGAGAGAGACGGGGGGAGCAGAGAAGAGAGAGGGAGGGAGAAAGGGAGGGAGAGAGAGAGGGAGAGAGAGAGGGAGAGAGAGGGAGAGAGAGAGGGAGGGAGAGAGGGAGAGAGAGAAGAGGAGAGAGAACAGAGAGAAAGAAGAGAGGAGAAAGACAGAGAGAAAGAGAGAGAGAAGTGCCGCTGCAGATAATTGATTACTCCTCTATCAAGGCTAACTTGTTAGCAATAGTCAATTGCCCCATCTCTCCGCCTCCCCTCGCAGTACGGGATCGGCGCCCTCGCCTCGGCTCTTCCAACTGCCGCCGCCAGGACCCGGGGCCAGGAGCCGCCGCGGAGCCACCTGACACCTTTAAATAGCACCGGGGCTGGCGAAACTGGAGCCCCGCGCGGCGCGCCCCGGCTCGCGCCCCGGATTGCTGGAAGCCCCGGCGGCGGTAGCGCCCGCGTCAGCGCCCTCCTCCTGGGGCCCCGTGCGGCTGTGCTCGCCTCTGCCGCTGCGCTAATCGGCCCCGAGCCCGGCCCGCGCGCTGCCGGGCGCGGCCTCCTTCCCGCCTGCCGCCCGCCCGCGCCTCCCGGCGCCCGAGCTGCCCGCGGGCTGGGTCCCCGAGGCCCGAGCCGCCCCGGCCGGGCCCCCAAACGAGGCCGAGATGACTTCCAAGGAGGACAGCAAGGCGGCGCCGGGGGAGGAGAGGCGGCGCAGCCCGCTGGACCACCTGCCGCCTCCCGCTAACTCCAACAAACCGCTGACGCCGTTCAGCATCGAGGACATCCTCAACAAGCCGTCTGTGCGGAGAAGTTACTCGCTGTGCGGGGCGGCGCACCTGCTGGCGGCCGCGGACAAGCACGCTCCGGGCGGCTTGCCCCTGGCGGGCCGCGCGCTGCTCTCGCAGACCTCGCCGCTGTGCGCTCTGGAGGAGCTCGCCAGCAAGACTTTTAAGGGGCTGGAGGTCAGCGTCCTGCAGGCAGCCGAAGGTAGGCGCCGCCACTGGGTTCCCCGGCGCCCAGCACCAGGCTCCCGGCTCCATGTGTCCCACGCTTAGTGCTCTCTGCCTCTGGCCGCCCCCTCCCGCGCCGGCTGCCTGGGCCCTCCAGCCCAAGCCGCTGCCGCTGGGAGTGGAGATGCGTGGGACAGGACCCAAACCCTATTTCCAAGGGCCTCTGGATAGGCCAGAGTCGAGTGACCGCGGAGGGGAGGCAGGAACCCAAGACTCTCTGCAGTCTGCCTGCTTTGCTTAACTCCCTCCCGTTCTCGGTGGCCTGGGTACTGCTAGCCCTGTTCCTGGGGTGGGGAATGGAGAGCCTTTGCTGGGGCCTTTTGGTTAGGGGTAGAGCAGAGCTGATTGCGACGAGGTGGAGAGCCAACATTCACACCCAGGCAGGGCGTCCCTGTCTGGCTCTCATGTTCTAGCGACCTCGGGTCTTCCAAACCAACTCTCAGGTGAAACGGCAGAGACCAAACCAATTTTTCCTAGGGACTTCCGGTAGACGAGAGATGGGGGAAGGGGGCTTGCCATAGCCTAGGCTTGCCCTAGTCCGGGTGGCCGAATCTAATCCTAGAAGGGAACAGCGGCAGACTGCAGGCCGGATGGGTCTAGGTGGGGTGAGTAAGGACCGGGGTGGGGTCTCCTCTCCTCTGGCGCAAGCCTATACTTTGGTTTCCTCTCAGGCCGCGACGGGATGACCATCTTTGGGCAGCGGCAGACCCCCAAGAAGCGGCGAAAGTCGCGCACGGCCTTCACCAACCACCAGATTTACGAGTTGGAGAAGCGCTTCCTCTACCAGAAGTACCTGTCCCCCGCCGATCGCGACCAAATTGCGCAGCAGCTGGGCCTCACCAATGCTCAGGTCATCACCTGGTTCCAGAATCGGCGTGCCAAGCTCAAACGGGACCTGGAAGAGATGAAGGCCGACGTGGAGTCCGCCAAGAAACTGGGCCCCAGCGGGCAGATGGACATCGTGGCGCTGGCCGAACTCGAGCAGAACTCGGAGGCTGCGGGCGGCGGCGGCGGCGGCTGCGGCAGGGCTAAGTCAAGGCCTGGCTCTCCGGCACTCCCCCCAGGCGCCCCGCAGGCCCCGGGCGCCGGGACCCTGCAGCTCTCGCCCGCCTCCCCGCTCACGGACCAGCCGGCCAGCAGCCAGGACTGCTCGGAGGACGAGGAAGACGAAGAGATCGACGTGGACGATTGAGCGGCGCCCGGCATCTTCCGCAGCCCCGGGCTCCTAGCGCTCTTTGCCCGCCACCTCCCGGACAGGACCGCCAAGGGGAGCTGGGACCTCCTCTGCAACTCCCGCCTTCTCCCCTGTCCCTGGCCCGGACTCGGCTCCCGGCAGCCGCCTCTTTCCTCTCGAAGCAATAAACCCGGGCTGGCCGGCCAAGCCGGCTGCCGCGCGCGGCCTCCGCTGCCCCGGGAGCCCTCGCCGTGCAATTCTGTATGGCTTCTGTATAAATATTTAAACCTATATACCGGGTTCTTCCCACCGCAGCCTGACTTTTTTCTTTCTTTCTTTTATTTTTTAAAATCTCGGAGTTTCCATGTTCTCAAAGCTCAGGCTGCCGGGTTTGCTGAGGGCGAGATAGAATCGAGGGTAATGAACACTTAACCTCGAGGTCTGGTGGAGGGGCCGCCCCGACTTTTTGATTTTTCTCTGCATGTGGCGAATGCACCGGCCCTCTCCCTCCTCACCTCCCTAGGCCTATTGCAGTTGATTTCTTTTATTTCCTTCTGCCTTTATTGCCCCACACACACCTGGGAAGGGGCTGAGGGGGGCAACTGGGTCTTGACTTGCGAGTTTCAAATCGATGTTTCCCCCTCCCCCCCAGCGAGAGAAGTCTGTTTTCGATGCCATTTCTGCCTCCTAATGCCCAGTAATGCTATTTTTAAGATTCCTCCCCACCCTCTCCCGGTTGCCTGGGACTGACTATTGGGGTCCGGGTCTTAGGGACAAAGCAGGGGGAAATCCAACAACCAACCAATCAACCAACCAACGAAAACAGAACCCAAAGTCCAAGAATTATTTTTTACTCTTTTTAGAATTTTTTTGCATGTGACAGAGACTGAGACGAGGCCGACCTAAGCCCACGCGCCACCTCCTCCACAGCTCTGGGTCTGTCTTGCGGTATCCAACGCCCTGCTCCTAGCTCGACTTGGCCAGACGAGGGTGCCTGGATGAGGGTGGGTCCCGCGTGCCACTCCCCTGCTCCTGCCCTGCCCTCTCCTCCCCGGACTGTACCCAAGGCCTCTTTCTCCGATAAATAAAGTCTTTGCCATTTTACTAGAACCGGCGGTGACCGTGTCTGAACGAGTGGACCTTATTCAGTGAAGCCGCGTCAGGCTCGGTGTCTCGCCGCTGCTGGTCGCCGGCTGCCCAGGCCTTGGAGATTTGGAGGAGTTTCAGGGCAGGCGTGAGAATGAGGGGTGAGGGGGAATTAGTGAGAGGGAGGAGGCGCTTCTTGCCCACAAACACGTGGCAGCTACCAAATGGTGCGGGGGCGAGAGAAGCGGGCTTCGCCAGGTCCGGGTAAAAAGAGAGGCGTACAATGCTGGGAGAAAACGTGTGCGTACTTTGAGGGCGCCACGGGTGCAAAATTAATTTGTATGGGGCAAAGGCTAGGTGAGGGGGGACTTGCCGTGGGGTTCGTGCATCCCAGCCGGGACCCAAGGGCATTCTTCCTGCGCTCCCCGGGACACCGGCTAAGCCTTGGGTGTGGTATATAGCTCAGTCGGGCAGCAGACTGCAGCCTGAGAGCTCCCCAAGCTTCGGTTCGCCAGAGGGCCTCACCCTTGGGTGAGGGAGGAAAATGAGGCCAAAGGCACCAAGGGCAGGCTGAATTACTCACACGGGCACTGGAAGATGTGAGCCCGAAGCATCTGAGAGTTCGGGTGGATTTCTGGTAACGTTCACAAATTCTGGGCCCCGAACCCGGGTGGGGACAGAGACATCAATCTCCCAAGGACTCTGGGGGAGTCCCCGCACCCCGAGGGCGGCTGGGGCAGGAACACAGGCAGCTTTTACTTTTCCGAACGGAGCGGGTTTCTTTCTGGGCTTTTGTTGTCGCTGGGCTGGCGAGTGGCCGCTGTCACTAGAGGAGGGTCCCGCCTCCAGGCCACTCGGCTCTCTTTCTAAGCAAAATTGATGTGAGAAATGTGCATCTGGTCTCGGGCAGGCGATGGGGCCCCGGGGCCTGAATCGGGAACGTGCGAGTCCACGAGGAAACGAAGAGAGAGAAATAGAAGAAAAGAGAACAGAACACTTCAAAAGCAGAGCGAGAAAGTGGAGAGCCACAGAGACGGGGGAGAAAGAGAAAGAGGAAAAGCTACAAAGAGAGAGACAGAAACAGAGACAGAGACAGAGGGAGAAAAGTGGAATGGGGAGAAGGGAGAGAAGAGAGGCGAGAACGAAAGAAGGAAAGAGGCGGCCGGGCAGCGGGGCCGGCGTGCGGCCGGTTCCTCCCGAGCGACATAAATCGCCCTCTCAGGATGGATGGGTCTGTAATTCGGAGCGCGGACCATGAAGGCCGGGACGAATGGACCCGGGCGGCCGCTGACAGGCGACAATAGCCGGGCCCAGCCCCCCGCGGCTCCGGGTGCGGGCGCGGCCACGGCCCTCCGCAGCCCAGAGCGCGCCGGCGCTGGCGACCATATGGTTTTTGAATTTTCTTCACAATTTGTAGACAATTTGATGGATTAGGTCCCCGCGCGCGCCTCCCCGGCACAAAGGCGGCGCAGGGACCGCGGCGCGGCGGTCACTCGGGCATCTGCGCCCGCCGTGCGCACCCCGCCCCCGTCCGGCCCCCGCCCCGCGCCCTGAGCCCGGGGCCGCCCGCCCAACACGCCCATGAATCCCAATGAAGCGGCCCTGGCACCTCAGGCCGCTGCCCGCTTCGCGGCCCCGGGCCGGGCCCTGCTGGGTCCCTTCGGGCTAGGGGCGGCGGCCCCGGGGCTGAGCCCACCCGAGCTGAAGAGCCCGCGGGGCGCGCAGCTAAGCAGGCGCATCGGGGCTGAGGAGAAACGGGGCCATTTATCCGCCCGTCTAGTTAAAGCGGGTTATTTGTTTGCTTCTCTGGCCTCCCCTCCCATCCCCTCCCCCTTCCCTCCTCCCCCTCCTTCCCCTTCTGCCTTTTATTCTTTTGTCTCTAAATGGATTTAATGAGCCTGAAAAACATGACAATTGAATATAACCAAGAAATAAAAAGTAACGAGGGAGGAAGGAAGAAGGAAAAGAAGGAAGGAAAGAAAGAAGGGGAAGGATTAATAAAATAAAGGGGGAAATCCATTCAATTCAGCAAATGTTTGTTGTGCCTCTTTTCGGCGCCAGGCCACGCTGGGGGCTGGGGAAATGGAAACGAATCAGATCCAGTTCCTACCCTCAAGGAGCTCCCAGTCTAGCAGACGAGACCCGCCGCACCCCAGGGCAGATACGAGACCTGGACCGAGGGACAGGGAAGTTCCCTTTGCAGAGCTCAGAGAACCGACTTAGGGGCCGGGGTAGTGGGGGCTTCACGGAGGAGGTGGCTTTGGACCCAGGTCTTCAAAGATGAGGAGGAATTCGTTGTTTCTATAGGCCAGAACGAGGGCGGGCAGAAGGAGGGACCGCACCGTCGTCGGAGGGAAGGGGAGAGAGGCGAACGCGGAGCCCAGGGCTTGACCCCAAGGAGCCCTGGAGAGAGCGCGCCGCGCTGGGTCCCACACCTTTTGGGAAGCGGATTCCAGCCGCTCTGCAGTCTTCTCGTCTGTGCTAGATTCGATGCCTCCGCCAGGCTGCCGGTGGGCTTCCGGAACCCGGCCGACAGCGCGTGTGGCCGTGGCATCCCGACTCGGTCCAAGCGGGCAACGCGGCGCGGGGCTAGTTTCCCGGCCCCATCGCGCAGGGAGGCGGCGACGACCGAGGGCAAGGGCTGAAGGGCTTGTCTGGAGATGGGAGCGAGGAGTTGGGGGTCCAGGGAGGCCTGGGCTCTAGCCCACCCTCTCCCAGGCAATCCCGGCTCTGATGAGAGCAGCTACCCGTACGCCGCCCAGGGCGCTGGGATGGCCTTAGCCACGCTTCGGGTGCTTCAGCGGGGACCTGTGATGGGAGAGGGCCTCGAATCCAAGTGCAGGCCCTGGTCTCCTAACAGGCGCCGGCCGGGCCTGCCTCGGGTGCGGCTGTGCGTGGTGTGCGCACTGCATGTGTGCGCTCCGTGGGAGCCGGGCGTGTGCATTACGTGTTTGTTCTCCGAGTGTGAGTGTATGTACAAGTGTGGCGTGGATCGTGTGAGGGGCTGTGGGCCCTGCGCCCATTCTCAGGGCGAGGTTCGTTAAGGTTTGGGACCCTCCTGGCCTCCAGCCCTGTGGCGGAGTTACTTTATAGCCTGGGGCCGTCGCAGGCCTGCGTGCTCAGGACTCTAGCCTCTCTGCAGACCCGCTTTCGGTTCCCGGCTGCCCAAGAGAAGCGGCCCGGCTCTGCCTCTTCCTTCCCGGTTGGGTCCGGGGCCTCGGCCCTGCTTGCCAAGTCCCAGGACGCGGGCAGGTTCTGCTCTCCCGGCCCGGGACTCCGCGGGGTGCGGACGGGCTGGGCCTGGCCCCGCGATCCGGCTGGCTCGGCTTTCCCTGCTCCGCCTTCTCCGACCCGGGGTCCAGCGGGCGGCGCCTGGTGAGGCCAGGAGGCGCAGTTCCTTATTTTACGAGGTGTCGGGCCGGTGTCAGACGCAGCTCCGATAAGTAATACTCCAGTCTGAGGGACCAGAACGTGGTAATTAATCCCAAAGACTTAAGTGTATTTTAGTTCAGGAGAAAAAAAATCACTAATTCAATCGTCCGGAAAATTGAAGTTTGATGCATGAGTCCCCCCTGAAAGGGACGGGCTGGGGCCGCGCGCCTCCCCTCCGCCCCTGCCAGTCGCCGCGGGGACCCCCTCCTCCCCACCCTTCGGAGCCTCCAGGTCCAGGGAATTCCACTCACATCGCCCTGCATGTCTCCTGCCGTTGGAACCCAGGGTACCTTGACTTTGCTCCCTACTCCAACAACCAACCACTCTTTCTCGCGGCCCAGAAAGCGGTTTGTGCCGAGAATACGGATGTTCCTCCAACACACACACACCTGGGAAGGGGCCTAAGGGAGCATGAGGTGTAGGGGAGTGACTAGATAAGGGACCCAGAATGGACAGGGGCAGGGACTGCAAGATGAGGGAGAGGGGACCTGGAACCTGAGCAAACTGGCGTCACGAGGGTCAGCAGGTTGGAAGCCACTGTGGTAAAGTGGAGAGTCCCCTGGCCGGCTGCGGGTGGTGTGAGTCCAGGTTAGAACTGTGGGTGTGCTGGGTAGTGATGGTTGGGCTGTAGAACTGTGGATGGTTGGTTTGTGTGCAAAATGGGTGCCTCCCTAGACTGTGCATGTGCACGAATGAGGTCTTGGGCAGAGGTTAGCAGGCCTGGGGGAGCTGGGAGCCTGATCCCGGATGGGTCCACAGGCTGTGTCTCCCACGGATGAGGCTCCTGGGACTAGAGCAAAGGAAGGTGGTGGTCCTAGGCCTGGTGCATGTGTATGAGGGGGGAGCAATACTCGGGATGGAGAATTCCCACCCTGAGTTTTCCTGGGGCCCCAGCTCTGCATTTCCAGATCCAGGGCTGCCA